TGTCCTAGCCTTGCAGTGGCCACACCCACAGCCGAAGACGTTGAGGATTGGGGTGCCATATCAGTCCCCCCAACTGAGACAGCAAGTCCCTTCTGGTCGGAAGACACCATGGGACGCCCTGACATAGACTTCGTAGCAGTGGGAACCATGGTCGCGCTGGCCAATACGGAGCCACCAGCAGCATCCTGTGGCCCTCCTCGAGGACTCTCTGAAGGGTTGGCCAAATTAGAGAAAGGGGTGGAAAGGCATATAGAAGGACCCTTGGCCAAGGATGAGCCAATGCGTCCTGGCCTAGCGCACCCGACGCCCCCGTAAGAGAGTACCATAGGGGACACTGAGTCGACTCTTCCGTCGCAAACAGGTCTATCTCTGCCTGACCAAAACGGTCCCAGATCATCAGCACTATGTCTCTGTGGAGGGACTACTCTCCCGGAGGGGACTCTTGGCGGGAGAGAAAATCTGCGACCTGATTGTGTCGCCCTGGCAAGTACGTTGCCCGCAGGGTGGACAGGCGAGGAGAGGCCCATTCCAGGAGCTCTCTGGACACACTCAGAAGTTGTGCTGACCTGGTGCCCCCCTGATGGTTGATGTGGTAGACAACAGAGGTGTTGTCTGACCGAACAAGTACATGCCTCCCTTCCAGGTGAGGCAGGAAGTGCCTGAGTGCCAAGTGCACTGCACGCAGCTCCAGCACATTTATATGCTTGGAATGGTCTCTTTGACCCCAGCGGCCCTGAACCGCTCTGCGTTGCCATACAGCCCCCCATCCCATGGAGCTGGCATCCGTCGTGACCACTTCCCTGCGACACACTACCACTCCCATGGGGACACCCCTGGACAAATAATCTTCGTCCCTCCATGGAGTCATGGCATGAAGACATGACCACGTCACTGCGAGCTTGCGATGCCTGTGCAGCCTGGCATCCAGGCGAAAGCTGTTGAGCCACCTCTGCAAGGGGCGAAGTGACAGCAGGCCTAAGGGCACCACCCGAGTGACTGATGTCAGCTTGCCGAGTAGTTGCAGGAAGGCAACATAGGGGAGCTGCTTGCCCAGCCTGAACCGATTGACCAGCTGGAGTATGCCAGCCACCCTTTGAGCGGATGGGCGAGCTCTCATTGAAGATGAATCCAGAACCACCCCAAGAAAGGTGGTCGTCTGGGAAGGGATCAGGCAGCTCTTCTCCAGGTTGACATTGAGGCCCAACTGGGACATATGAGCGAGCAGGCGGTTTGTGTCGTGAAAGGCACAGGCCTGAGACGGGGCGCAGAGAAGCCAATCGTCTAAGTACGGCAGAATCTTCACTCCGCAGGCCTGCAGAGGAGAGAGGGCTGCCTTCACGCACCGAGTGAACACCCTTGGGGAGAGAGAGAGCCCGAATGGAAGTACCCGGAACTGCCAGTGGTGACCCCGATAGGCAAACCTGAGAAAGCGGCGATGTTCTGCCGCAATAGGCACATGAAAATATGCATCCTTCAGGTCTACAGACGTGAACCATTCCTCCCTCGTGACAGCTTGAAGGACTTCTGCTGTTGTGAGCATGCGGAAGGGCAGCTCCTTTAGGTACTGGTTGAGTCCCCTCAGGTCTAAAATGGGACGAAACCCGCCCGTCTTCTTTTGCACAAGGAAGTAAGTCGAGTAATAGCCCCTGGGTTGTTGCAGAGGGTCCACTGCCTCTATTGCGCCCTTGGCCAGGAGGGCGGAAAGTTCCTGGTCTAGTGCTTGAGCTTTCACCGGGTCGGCGATTACAGTCATCTTGACCCGGCCTGAGATACGAGGCCGCCGTCGGAACTGTAGCCGGTAACCATGGGTCAGAGTGGCAACCACCCATGGGTCCACGGCGTGAGCAACCCAATAGCTGAGCTGCTGGTGGGAGAAATATCCGACGGTCGGCCTGATGGCATCACCGTCTCCCTCCACGCCCCCTAGGGGCCGTGGGAGGGCGGCAGCCAGAGTCCCTGGTCCGAGCCTGCCCAGCTGGTCGGTGGACCAACCCACGAAAGCTCCTGCTGGGCCTTTGCTGAACCGCATGAGGGTAAGGACCACCCGGCCAGTTATGACCCCCAGGCGGCGGCTGCATGCTGGAGCCAGCCGACAGGCACCTTGGATGCCGAGGAGGTGGAGGGGGCATTGGCCTGCTAAGGCTCGAAAATTGCTGCCTTCTCTGTCGTGCCTGGACAGTCCGTTCCAGTGCTTCCAAGGCAGCCGAACCGAACAACTCCCCCGGCACCACTGGGACATTACGGAGGGCTCTACGGCATGGCTCAGTCAATGCTGACTGCGCTAACCAGACCTGTCGGCGAGCTTGGACCAAGGAGGACATCACACGCCCAAGCTCCCTCGTCATTAGTGCAAAGGCCTGAAGCGCTGCATCGTTAAAGCCCATCGCTGCTGTCGCACCACTAGTCCCCTGAAGGGACGCGGAGAGGGCAAGCATTAGGTGTGCCAAGGAATTACCTAGGCGGCCAGCACGCGCTCCGGCAGCATAGGCTCTGCAGAGGAATTCATCCGTGACACGACACTGAGCTCGTGGGCACCGAACATGACTGCGCAGAGCTTCATCTGGTGACACGATGAGAGAGGCAACAGCAGGTTCTATCGCTGGCATGCGATCCAAGCCTGCTGCAGCCGGCTCATGCATGGCCGCCAACACTCTGCCATCTGCAGAGAGGCGCGCAAAGGCCTTGGGGTCCCGCCAGCAACCATGCAACTCCCTCAGGAACTCTTCTGATGGAGGGACAGAAAAGGAAGGAGGGGTCAGTCCGCGCCTGAAGAAGGCACTTCCAAGGGTGGACGCCTCTGGTTGCGGGACGTCCAGCTGCAGTTGTCTCAGGGCCATACGCATGATGTCCTGCATCGAGCCGTCACCCGACCCACTAACTGCACTCCGAGAAGAAGAGAGTGAAGCTGTCTCTGAGACTCGAGATGAATGCCCGTCCTCCTCACCTAAAAAGTGAGAGGCAGAGGCAGCCAAGGATAGCACATCCTCCTCCACAGCCAGTTCAGGCATGGGTGGGGAGGAGAGTCCAGTTGCTGCCACTGGTTCAGTTCCCAGTTGGTGTACCTGAAAAAGGGACTTCATCTCCGCTAATTCAGCGGAGAGCTGCTCCACCCTTGTGGAGAGGCCCCTATCAGACCTGGCTCGCTTCTTCCCAGGAGGGGCCACAGAGACTGCGGCCTCAGTCCGGCGCTTCGAGCGCCTAGGTGGAGCCTCCTGCCCAGAAGGCGGGAGGTCATCGCCGAGTTTGGGGCGAAACTGGGCCAGCCGGGCCACCCTCACAGCATGCGACATGAAGCTGCAATTCATGCAGGGGTTCTCTGACAGGGCATCCACCAGATGGTCATGTCCAAGGCAGGCAGGACACAGGTCGTGACCGTCATCTATCTGGAGCATGGCTCCACAGACTGTACAGCAGTGAGAGCCGTCCATGCTCCTTACCCAGCTATGCCCAAGATATTCAGAGGGGCTAGCACCACTAGCTCAGCTGGTAAAGAGGACAATTGGGAGAGGGGGCGCGAACGCTCGCCTTCACCAATCAAAACAAGGCCAAAACTCAGAGAGGCTAGCACCGCTAGCTCAGCTTTTAAGAGGACAATTGGGAGAGGGGGTGAGAACACTCGCCTTCACCACTTAAAACAAGGTTAGAACTCAGAGAGGCTAGCACCACTAGCTCAACTGGTAAAAGAGGACAATTGGGAGAGGGGGCGCGAACGCTCGCCTTCACCAATGAAAACAAGGTTAGAACTCAGAGAAGCTAGCATCACTAGCTCAACTGGTAAAAGAGGACAATTGGGAGAGGGGGTGAGAACACTCGCCTTCACCAATTAAAAC